AAAAATTATTTTCTTTCTGCTCCTAAACACTGAAGCTTGAAAAATGCTTCTAGCATAAAACAGTATGCATGGACACATAAGATAACACTACTAGCTTCTATGAGCAGAAAAAAAAATGCTCATAATAGCTTCTAGAAGCTTTGTTCATGGAGCCTTTTCATTTTTTTAATTTTTTTTTCTGACATGCTGATGTTACTATCTTTCACTAGGATGTTATAAGTTGCACTGAGTAAATACAGCTGGATAAAACAAAAATAGTGTCTGTCTTCTTTTCAGGCTGCAAAGCAGCAAAATGTGGAGTGATTCTTTTCTTTTCTATACCCACTGTAGCTAGTCAGGTTAACCTCCTTGGCGGTATTCCCGAGTGTAGCTCGGGGTAGAATTTCTATACCAAGAACTGTAACCCCGAGCTACACTCGGGAATACCATGCAGCGTTCTCTGGGGGTCCCTGCAGCACTTACCTTGTCCTTGGCTCCCACGATGGGTCTCCTGCAGCGTCCCCGTCCATCTCCTCCGGCGGATGCCGACATCTGGCTTCCGTGTTCCGGTCCCTGTGACGTCGGAACGTTTGGGCGGCGGAACCGGCGGGAAATTTGAAATTTTTAAAAAATGACATTTTTGCTGTCATTGCTTTTTCACTGCATTTCACATACATTTTGTCCCCACTGCTTTGTCCTGTGCCCTGCCTACATTTTGACTGTTCTTTCTGCCTGGAAACTTAGAAAAGTCCATGGCGGTTAAAAAGCATCAATTTACGTCAAAAGCGGTTTTTGAACAGCGATAGTAAATCAGAACCACTTGCAGAATTGGGTGATAATGATTCGTGGGGAAATTCGTCATCAGACACTGAAAACGATTTTGCGACTTTGCTCAGTGATGTGCGAATTTGCCTCTGTATTTCAAATTTCAGTGTTTTTGGTTTGATTATATTATTGAATTAAATTTATTATTATTATATTATTATTTTTTTTGATTATTTATTAAATTATAATTTATGATTTCGTGTTTCAAGTTTTATCATATCCGGAATGTTTAATAGACTCTTTTTCGGATAGATTTCAGTGAGTTATTCCTAAAAATTACAGCCTACAATAAAAAACTACATATTTCCATGCAAAAAAAATGGTACCACTTTCAGCACAAAAAATCAGAAAGAATCATACCGCGGAGGAGGTTAAAATAAGAAACAAGTCCATCTAGTTCAACCAAAAGAAACAAATTAATAAATAGAATAAATAATTATAAAATCTCCATATACAGATCCAAACCCACATTAGATCCAAAGGAAGGCAAACGTATAATATCAGTAGTATTGTACCATGTTAGCCATCTATTAATGCAGGTATTTGGAGTTTACTTGACACCTTTTAAATGGCTAACTGAAGTTAATAAAGATGCAAATCTTTGGGACGATTTATAATTCTTCTTCAGATCTTATATTGTGAAAAGCCTGAAGAACGGCTTTAAGTCGTCCCAAAAGCTTGCATCTCTAATAATTAAATTACCCAATAAAGGGTACCACACAAACTCCAAATTTTTAAAATAAGATCAGAAAAGACTGAAGAAGTCCTCCCGAAAGCTTGCATCTCTAATAAATTATAGTGGAGCTCCAGCCAAAAGGGGAAGTCCTGCTTTAAGGCTTTGTCCCGTGCTCAATGTTAAGGATTGGCACCTTTGACAGGTACCTACTCCCACTTCTGCTGTGATTGCCTAGGCGATCAGAAGCGGAAGTTGACCTCCCCCTCTCCCTCCCTGTAGTCTTCTGGGTCACGTGACAGGTCCTAAAAGACTGTGGGACCATTCACAATGTGCAAGGATACTCCTGCATGCACAGTGGGCACCCAGCTGTGAAGCCACAAGCCATCACAGCTGGGTGCCCACACTGAAGATGCGGGCACCTGGGACACAGGACGGGCGGTGTGAGGACACCACAGGATCAAGGGACAGGTGAGTGTCTGTTTTTAAAAGTCAGCAGCTGTCATTTTTGTAGCTGCTGACTTTTATTTTTTCATTTTGACTGGACCTCTGCTTTAAGTTAGCCAAAAAAGGGTTCCACTCAAGCTCCAAATTTTTAAAATGAGACCAGAAAAGACATCAGCCCATTTTTTATTAATTTAGCACATTTTCTTTTGTACATGCTTCTAGATTCTGCTGTCAAAATAAGTGGATAAGTCTGTGCTCTGTTCAAATATCTTGTGGCAACAAAAATTGCAGCTACCATCTTTTTATTGTATACTTGTAGTCAGGTGCAGTCTGTATTCCCCACTGCAGATGGCACTCAACCAAAGTGGCAATGCAGAAGGGAAAGGAGGTTGTGAGAAACTTAGTTCCTCTATGATTTCCTGTGGCTATCTGGAGGCAGCTATCTGGTTGATGCTAGCTCTCATTACCCTGGTGGCTATCCTTAGTGAGGGCAGAACTTAAACAAAGCCTTGGCTCACTGCAGTTGCCGTGCATTGTATGAGTGGCTAATGTAGGAAGAGGTTCCCCATCTGTCAGGGACAGTATACTTATCAGTAAGGAAAGGTTCCGGAGGAGTAGGGAAAGTGCAGGGACTTCGCCTCCCACCTTATAACTTCTTAATTGGGGTTGTACTGGCCAGGCCACACTTTCAATCCTCATTGCAGAAACTGTCAGCATCATCTGGGGAAGATTATCACTGCTACTGTGCTGTAAGTGGTTCTGGATGGCTGTGCTACCCACTGGGCCTGTTTTTGTCTTGTTGGGACTTTCTTCAATGCATCATCGAAATTATCTCTGCCTCTGTGTTTTTTGCTGCTTGCTACCGTTCCACGCTTCACCCTGCTCACACACTGCCCCTGTTTTTAGAAAATATTTAATGTTTTAGGGGTTTCAAATTTCCTGCCAAAAAAAAATGCAGATTTTAAAGTATGTGAAAAATGAAGAAGAATGGCTCTGGCAACAATAAGGTTTATGAAAAAACTTTGCTTTATAGAAAATACTGTCTGATTCAAAAAGAGAAAATGTAAAAAGAAATTACTCAGTTTTGTGCATGCATTCCTGCTTGACTCGGAAACGTTTTTAAGTGCACCAATATGATGTTGTTGTCAGGAGACAACGTGTCTGGAGGTATCCTGCACTACCTACCTAAACAAGCACAGTAACAGAAAATAAAAAAAAGTCTAAACATTGACCACTGAATACATTTTAAAGACGTTTCAAAATTGTGACATCATTTCTTACATCATCTTGTGATCACTCAAACCGGGGATCACTAAGACTGGGTTCACATTCTTCTACTGTGGTGTGTTACTGTAATGCAAGTTTGTAAGGGGTAGGGGTCAGGCAGGTGATGGCGTACCTTCCCCCATATTTCCCAATTAACTCATTATGCTCCATGTCTGGGTCACATGAGAGGACTACCTTCATGGTGGGTTCTTCTGGGCTATGCTAGGCACCTTGTACAGGGTCACTCTCCTACATATGGGATACCTTTGCTTAAATGCCATTTCATCAATACCCTGGGACAAGGCTGAAGCTGCCATGGGGGAATATTCGACCTCAAGGTGGGTCTCCGACATTAGAGATGACTGATACACTGTGTACACTTGCAAAACAACTGGTCTGCTTTGTTTGCTATGGGTGACGGAATGCAGCATAGGTAGTGCCGACAACATCTCCCTCATTTCTAGAGGCATTTCCACCTATAACAGGTACATGTTTTCGACAGGCTGCTTGCTGACTGTACCTTCGTTGCTCTTGGCAACCACATGTATAACTTGCACTAGAATGACTCTTAGCATGTTACCTCTTCATATCCTATGTGTCAAGACCCACTTGATAAATCTGTCTGTGCCGGTTAATTGTAATACACCTCTTTCAGTGACTTCAGTCCATGCAAGGACAATGTTTCAATGCTTTACTGAATAAAGTGCAAATTCCAACAAAATAACAGTCCCAAGTCCTAACTACAGGCCTAAGTGCTGCCCTGGCGTACCTGCAATGGTGTAGTCTAGCAATTAAAGTCCTTCAGAGTCTTCTTTGGAGGCATGCTCCAGTGCTGGTGTCTTCAGGGCGAACCCTAGGTTCAGATGGCTTTACATCCATGCAGTGATGAGCGACACCCACAGGTATTGTTCTCTGTCTCATTCCCTTACAGGCCCGGACGTAAAGTAGGCCCTGATCCTCTAGACTCTCTCTCCTTGCAACCTTCCCTCTTGGGTTCTCAGCAGGGAAAACCCTGAACCCTCTCAAGCTATCTCTTTGACCCAGAGAAGAACCCACCAAAAACCAAAGAAACGGAGAGCCATTAACTGCTACCCTCCCAGCGAGAACAACACCTAATTAACTATTTCAACCCACCCATACGTTAATGCATGTTATGTGCATTAGCACGTTGTGGTGCAATTTATTTTGAATGGCGCCTGAATGTGGTAAGGCAACATAACTCTAATCCACATATTTTGTGGAGACCCACAGGACACTGTAACTTACTACCATGCATTGTGGTTGCCAAAAAAAGAATGCATGCCCATACTTTGGGACATTGTGGTGCATTGCCAACCCATTCATTTTATATGTGAAAAAAAGCACAAGCTTTCATACAATACAATGTGAACCCAGCCTAAAATATACCCCAAACTTCCAGAGAGTGATCCAGCTTGCTTGCCTGCAGTTAAATATCACCTTCTAGAGAAAATAAGCTGTCTCATGTTTGCACTAAACCACACATTTTATTACCATAAACTTTCAGCTGCAAACGCTGCATGGCGTATGTGCAAATGGCAAGCTCAAACTAGTGTGCATAATAAAATAGCTTATGATGTCATTAAAGTAAGAACATTTCAGTGAATCAGGTTTAACTGAAAAATTGTATTGTGTAAAAACATGTTGAAATAAGACAAACTAATTTCACCTTTTATTGAATTGGGCTAATAGAATTCAAATAAATTGCGCATGTGTAAATGTGTTTCAAGTTAAATGTTTTTTTTTTTTATTTGCAAATGATCTAATATATAAAAGTTCTTATTCTATTTAGTGAAAGGAAAAGTCTCCATTACCATTGAAGCTCATCATGGTACGCTCTTTTTATTTTCACTGGACGGTAATAAGAGTAATGGAGTTATGAAATTGCTAAACTGCGGGATGAAGCTTGATGTTTATCCCCAGGAAACTGGACAACATGAGCTTCAGCTTTTCGCCAAGAAACAGGAGAATGAAGGTTACAACATGGCTCTGGATTACAGAATAGATTGTAAGTCCATTGACAAAAACATGAAGATCCCTGGATGTCTTCATAACCCCACTGGTTCAAGTTGGGTGACTGAGGCGTCTGGACTAGTTCAGCCCTCCCATCCCGAGCCCATCATTTATACTGAAGATGGCTGTTGTAGCATTTGTTTTGTTCTGAAAAAAGACTTACGTTTTCTTTGTTCCTTACACTCTGATGAAGTAAAAATATCACCAGAGAGAGAAGACAGATCCATCTTTATAACACAGGCAGAGGACAAAGTGGAAATGAGAGTTCGTGTTCCCCAATCAGGAACCTATGTGGTGAAGATTTTTGTCAAGCCTGAAAACAGTGATAATACTTCATACGACTATCTGTGCAATTATCTTGTTATCTGCACCAACCCCAAAGTGAAGTGGCCAATGTTTCCTCTAACCTACTCTAACTGGGCTAAACACTATGAGCTGGTACAGCCTCTGGATGGTGTTCTACCTAATAATAGTAACGTTTCCTTTAAACTCCAAATTCCCGATGTGGTTGAAGTGTGTATTAATGGGGAGAATAATATCCCCCTGACCCTTTCTAGTGATGGTTACTGGGAAGGAAACTGCAGTACAACCAACAGAAAAACGCTTGATGTCATGGTTCAGTACAAGAATAAACCAAATTTATATAATCATATCCTAAAATATGATGTTAAAGCAAAAAGTTGAACACCAAAGAAAAACTTAAATATTACATGTTCCATGGAACCAATCATTTATTTTTTTATTTCAGAAGTGTGGAGAATATTTTAATAAAGATTTAACAACTTTACCTGGTATCTGCTTTCTTTGAATACTGATTTAAAAAAATAACCCAGAAAGCATCCTAGCAAGCTAACAGACTCAGTTATAATAAACTTTCACGTAAACCTAAAGCCCAGGCAAACTGCGAAGCATTTTTTCCTTTTTAAACAGAATATGGAAGGTTAGAAGAAGCTCTGTCATTTTTGAGTTGCTGTCTGTGTTTAGGCTCGTGTGGGCAGAGTATATCCACTAACCTGAAGGTGGCATTGTGTAATTTCTTCAGGTTGGCAGGAGACCATTGAGGACTAAATGTCCTCTGCTATGGGCTCCAGACAGCCAATCTGGGGGAGGACAGTAATCCTATTGGATACCAAAATCCTGCAAGATTTGGGCAGCCATCTTTACTGAGAATAATTCAATAAATAGAAGATTCTGTGTCTTTCAGTGAGCCCACAGTGTGAGAGTAAGATAGGGACAGAGCCTCTACTAGTTAAGGACATAGTAGGAATGTCTGTTCTGTCAGCTTCCTGGGACAGTCTCTTACTGGAAGCGGGCTATCAGCAGGGCCATTTGGAAATCGCAGTGTGACCAAGCAATATCAAAATCCCCTCCAAGGAAAGTACTCTTCTGGAATTCTATGGTCTGTAAGTGCCTAGTATATTACTATAGGAATGTGCCTTGTGGATAAACAGTGTCCTCTTTTGCTTGAAGAAGTTTATGGCCATAACACATATAGTGCTTTTGTTGTTTAAGTATCCACGTGTGTTTACTCAATTCTCGGGTACACTGATTCTACACTTGTGCCCTGTATTTGTCCTGGGCTCACTGCCTTAGATACACAAAGTAATAGTTTGTAACAGGGACATAAAGTGAGTTGAAATTCCCAATTCTGCAAATGTAGGAAAACTTGATTGCAAATCCTTATAAATTATTTTGCTCAAATCTTTCAATATGACTGCTACTCAAGGGCGGACTGACAACTCATGGGGCCCCCAGGCAATAGGGGATCATGGGGCCCCTGTGTCCTTGTCCAAACTCAACAAAAGCCTATGAAAAAGGTACCAGGGGCATCTCATGGGGCCCTCTACTGACCCTGGGCCCTCGTGCAGTGCCCAAGTTTCCAAATGGTCAGTCCGCCCCTGCTGCTACTGTAAGTGTATTGGTCTGCCAATCACTTACTTTAGACTGTTCATACACTATACAATCTGATTGTATCTGATTGTATAATCTTCTCAGTTATGTAGTGTACTGTTTTACTGTTTTAAAGATTATTTAGGTTTTTTCTTGTATTACATCATTCTGATAAATATAAAGAAAAATTGTACATAGACTGTAAAATCAGATTTTTTAGTGTATTGACAACTTATACTGGTCATTTCATAAAAGCAACCTAACATAAGTAAAATATGTCAGATTTAATTGATTTTCCTCTCTGAAAATGCTTATTCAGTGGCTGTCAAGCTGATAATTTACCTTAAAGTGGAGCTCCACCCAAAAGGGGAAGTTTCATTTTAATGCTTTGTCCCCCGCTCCCCATTAAGGATTGGCACCTTTGGGGAGCGGGTACCCGAATTTGACAGGTACCCGCTCCCACTTCTGCTGTGATCGCCTAGGCGATCGGAAGCGGAAGTTGTCCTCCCCCATCTCTCTCTCCATAGTCTTCTGGGACATGTGAAAGGTCCCAGAAGACTACAGGGCCATTCACAAAGTGCAGCGCTACTCACGCATGCGCAGTGGGCACCTGGCTGTGAAGCCGCAAGCTGTCACAGCCGGGTGCCCACACTGAAGATGCCGGCGCCAGGGAGAGAAGAGACAGCCGGTGAAACCAGCGATGGTGAGGACACCGCTGGACCGAGGGACAGGTAAGTGGCTGTATTTTAAAAGTCAGCAGCTACAGTTTTTGTAGCTGCTGACTTATATTTTTTTTTTTGCAGCTGGAACTCCGTTTTAAGTGCTTTCTAAATCACAAACTCCACCACATTCACACATGCTGGGCCTGGACTACTGTTTCACCCAGTGGAATATATAAATTCTCTGACTGCCCCCTCTGACAGGAACTCTTTTCTCCTCAGTGGGATATAACTTATACAGCCAGTCTGCTGCCTGTTTGCTACCAGTATGTCTTCTGGGAACTGGGTCCCACTAAATATCCATGCCAGACCCCTATCATGGATAAGGGTCTAGTATGCACTACTTAATTTTTTTTTCTGTCCTTTCCTGGCCACCCAGAATTCATGCCTGGGTAAGAATTTGGTTTGGATTTTGAAGGGAAACTAAAAAAATGGTGTGGGGCTTTCCTAAATGTCCATACATATTATTCTGGATAGTAGTCTGGTACAGGTTTTTAAGGGGGACCACACACAAAATTGTTTGAAGCTGGGCCAATGTAACTATTAAAGAAACATCATACCTAATGTTCTCTTTCACAGGCCACTTTAAGTCACTTCTCCATAGAGGGCAAATCATGCATAACCACTTGCAGAAGGTTGATAAAGTCTCACTTATTCAACTGAAGGATCTGATGGCTCTGTCCTCAGGAGACTCTGTGAAATGGAAAATGCTTTAGCTTGAAGACTGAGGTAGATGACTTGGATTAATTTCTTAGGCCACTGACTGCTAGAAAATTACTAGCGCATTGTTCAAGCTGCCTGCCAAGTCAGCATGGGTCTTGGTAGATAGATCTGTAGCTGAATTGCAACTTAGGCAAAGTCTAATTTGCAGTAATAAGGAATCAACATCTCTGGGGCTCTTGCTGGAACGCTCCATGCGGATGGACATTACCACGTTGCAGTTGCTTGGTGTAGAACCATCCATGAAAGAACTAACCTGAGGTTGGAGCTGGTTCACTGAAAAACTCTGTAGTATAGACTGATATAGATGGTGATTTAGAGCCACTAGTAACAAAGTCCATGAAGTGTCATGCAGAATCTCAGCATGAGTAGACACCTTTTGAAAGGTCTGTCTTTTTGTCCTCAGTAGAAGTTTGAGATGTTGTTTCACTGACTTTGCAATAATAATAAAAATAAAATGTATGATGTACTGTCTCCTATAGTGCCAGCCAGCTTCTGTAAATGGTGCCTGTGGCCTGGATCCTGTGTGCAGCTTCCCACAATCTCTAACTGGAGCTGCAACCTCAAAAGGATTTCTTCAGTGCCGTAGCTGGCAGCCCAGGGGTGTCTCAGCCCTCAGGCTGGATCTTATTCCCGAAGGAACTGTTCCAGGGCCCAGCCTATTTATACCCCTCTAAGCCCCCTGCTGGTCACTCACTCTCCTGACCAGGGATTGGTTGAGAGTGCATGAATATGCAGGCGAGGATCAGATTCTCTTACCCACTATTTCCAGGAACTCAGTGGGATGCAGGGGAAAGTACTTGAACCTGTACCAGTAGAACATAGAACAAGCTAAAGCAAATGATCACTGTACCCCTTACAATAGGGAAAAAAAATAAATCAACCTAAATACTAACAGCTTAACTAGGACGGTGCTATATATGTCAATGGTCAGTTCCAAATAACTTACATATATAAAGGAATGTGACCACGTGTTAACACTGAAATTTCAGAATTAACCCTTTGCATACTGCTGTATGCCTTTGCCTATTTATTAATGTCATTTGTGAATGGTGATACTCAAGTACACCCAGAATTCAGAACTACGGAATCCTCAAAAACCATGGATACAAAGCCAAGCAGGATTTCACCCTTACATAAATATTAGCAAAAACAGGAGCCAAGATTGTGCATTAACTGAAAAGACTCGGATAGTTAGGAACAACTGTATAGACTCAAAGGGTGACGAAATGGATAACTTATACCAGCCTCCGGGAATGCCTCAGCCTGTTGTGGCCAGTGGTCAAGTTGAAGTGCAGAACTCCAAGGCATCTGCTCATGGCTTTAGAATCGCTAAGTAAGGCATTTGGGTTCAAACTCTTTGTCAAGCCTATGGCTGGTCTGTGGTTGCAGTGCATAAATAGCCTCTGAGAAGGTTTTAGCGTTTATACAAACAAAATTGGTTATATATAAAGGAAAATGTTCTATGGTCCAATTTACATATAGGGGGATGAAAATATTTTTGCTACAACAAATTGTAATCATACATCATACACACGATATACTTATCAGTTAGAGAAGGTAAAACTTGTTTCCACAGAAACCTATGGTGCTGTTGCTGGTGTTGTTGCTGGCACCCTTAGGCCACTAGATGGAACTAGAATACTCAATACATCTATACTGTATCACAATAGATACAATTTAACCAATTATTTTTCTCTGAGTGAGCATACTTACTACTAAAATGGTCCGGATGTTGTGTTGTTTCTTTTTTTCTTTCACCTATATTGTATTGAATTTTCAAGTGTTTTAATACAATTGAAATAAAACATATTACCATTGTACATAATACAATATGTAAAGCATCAGATGTGCCACATAGAAATTGACAAATAGGATAAACATATGAATATATTCAACTGAAAATGATATGAAGTAATGCTGACAGAAGAATCCTGAGGATATGGTTGTTTTAAAGTGTTACTAAACGGAAAAAAAAAAATTTAATAAAAAAAACAAACATTTTATACTAACCTGCTCTGTGCAGTGGTATTGCACAGAGCGGCCCCAATCCTTCCTCTCTCTCGGGTCCCCCACTGGCAATCTTGACTTCTCCTCTTCTTCATGTGTCTCTGCACAGTGTCTGTGTGCTCCCGAGCTGTGTGTCTATTGAGCCGCGCTCCATAAACGTACACATTGGGACTTAGCCCCACTCCTCACTGCATTTGATTGACAGTATTATCCCAGTATAACCAATAAGGCTTTATGCTTCTTGTGTTTTTTTATATGCTCAAAAAGTGCTAGAAAAAAAATGAAAACCGCAAATAATAGCATTTTTGTGCCAGCTTGTATTAGCGTTGTAGTAGTGTTTAGTAG